AATTATAAAGAAACGAAGTGCAAGAGTTTGCCTAAGAGAAGACTAAAGATATTAAAATATTGTTTATTGTTAAGAACAAGAGGGCAGTTGTTATTTAGAGAGGTTATTATTATTTATCTTGCTTTAGAAACTATTATTATTTTAATTCACAACATCATGTCGAGTTAAGGGAGAAAAGGCCTGTATTTATAACCTTTAGCTACTAAGGATTAGTAATCCGTGTTGGTGTTCGCGGTGTTTGAGCGGACCAATAGTTATTTTTAGCTATGATGTTTGTGGTGTTAAAGGTGGTGTTCGCAGTGCTCTTCGCATAATATTAAAGTGACGCATATTACTAATTATTGATTAATAATACCTAGAAAATTCTAAAAGGTTCTAGAATATTCCGTAAGATTCCGGAAGCTGCCACGTAATTCCAAGATATTCTGGAACATTCTAAAACATTCCATAACATTCTAGACTATTCTACAATTTTCTGTGTAATATAACCAAAAACTATGACTAATCGTTATACAAAACTATTACTAATAAAACTATACTAAAATACTATACTAAACAAATAATAAAACTCATCCATACTGCCATCGGCGCTCTGTATGGGTAACAAATACAAAAACTAAACAAAATAAATAAAAACTATAACAAATATACTATAAAAATACTAAATCAAATAATAAAACTAAAAATAAAATAAAAGAAAAATAAAGAAATAGAAAATTATAGGCGTGACAATATCTATGATAATATGATTATTAGTTAAAAAAAAATTTAAAAAAAAAAAATTAAAAAAAGAAGTAATAATAAAATAAAAATAAAATATATATACTTACATCTATGAAAATTCATCACCTTTTTCAATTTCTATAATTACAAGGTCAGCAATTTCTTTTGCTATCATATTTTGAGTATCTATATTCATATTTACTAACAGATATAATTGGTAAGCTGTGTGAATTACTCTATCAACATTTTTATCTACTGTTAGCTTCTAGATCTCATTTGTAATGAAATCTCCTACTTCATAATAGTCAACCTCAGTACATACAATATTATTAGTATGGCTAGTTTTAAATTGATTAATAGATATGATATTGTTAGTTGAATTTATAGTTTGTTCAGGAAAAGTATTTTTATTCCTTTTTTTGTCTCGCCTTTCTTTGCATTTATTACAAGTTGTATAGTGAATACTATCCCAAATGAATTGATTATCAAAATGCATGCATTTACAGTCACTATACTTCTTTTTAGATATTGAGCTCATTTTCTCGAAAGTATTCATAGCAAGGCATACTTAATTATATTTATATAAAATGAAAGAAGCAACTCAATATATAGTGATAATTAAATACTTACAAAGAGAACTTTGATTAAATATTTATATTTTCAATTTATAATATTTCAGAAATTTAACATACTTTTATTCTAATGCAATCAAAAAGTTTGAACGATTTTATAATTAATGGTAATATATATTCATGCATTATTATTATTATTATTTTTTTTTTTATTTTTAAGGTGGCTTACATAGCCGAGCGAATTTTATTAGTTTGATATATGAGGTTCCACATAGGGTTCCCCTACAGTTTGTAATTACATGAAGAGTG